TTTGTGTATTTTCTTGAGAAATGGTGGAATACCAGGCCTCTCCCTGAGACTGGATATCATGAAGGGGATTTGGTAAGATTTAGAGTTAATTTGAGTTCAGACACTGGCAGGGAAGTGACTTTGACACGGGAAAACCTTTCCAACAGCTAAATATACAGGAAAGACTGCTTTTCTGCCCTGGAAAACTTTGATGGTCTTGTTGTATTGAAGTTTCCCTGGCAGATTTAACTGAACAATTTCTGGGGTCCTGTCTAGCTTTATGATTTGACGAATCAAATAAGTCTCCTTACCTGTCATCTTCAGTCAAAGAAACAAAAGGAGAACCTGGGGCAATGACAGGTAATGCCACAGTGTTATAGAACTCAATAGAAACAGGTATATTTTTAAATTTTGTTGTTGAATCATCAAAGTGGAGTAAATAATCCTGTGCCAACTAAACTTATTACTATATGGCCATTAATTATTAATGACTAGAAGACAGATTACTTCTGGACCTAAATATCCAGAACTTGCTTACCACTACCATGAAGAATAACTGCATGGGTCCTAGCTGGTTTGGCTCAGTGGCTAGAGCGTCAGTTTGTGACTGAAAGGTCCCAGGTTCAATTCCAGTCAGGGCACATGCCCAGGTTGCTGGCTCAATCCCCAATGGGGGATGTGCAGGAGGCAGCCAATCAACGATTCTCTCTCATCATTGATGTTTCTGTCTGTCTGTCTCTCTCTCCCTTCCTCTCTGAAAAAAGAATAACTGCCTGGGCATACTTGATGCTTTCGCCTGTAATATTTGTCCCAGAAAGTAAAATAACTCTGAGACTTTGAAGTAAACCGTGAGACAATTAGCATATCAACATCCGGGATACTTTGTGTAATTTTCTCTGTCACATTAACAAGAGGAATGAAGTGTTGGAAACTTGACAGAGAAATGTTCAGCAAGCCTTTGAGTGCTTTGCCTTGAGTGTGATTGAATGAAGTATTGGATGCCCCAGAGGTAGTTGGGAAGTCGAGTGCAGAAAGCAGATTTGCGTGTAGCATACTTGTCTCTGAGCCAGGCTCTTACTGCTGGGCCCAAGGACAAGGGACTCCCTTCATTTCATGATTTTAACCCTCAGGTCCTTTCCATCGCACCATTTCACTGATCCCTAATGGAGACCTCTCTATTAAAACCAAAAAATTTGGCTCTCAAAAGAAATTTCAATCGTTGTACTGTTGATATTTGGCTCTGTTGACTAATGAGTTTGCCGACCACTGGCCTAGGGTTTCCAGAAGCAAAGACAGTTAAAAATGAGGTCATGCCCAGCCGGGTGTAACTCAGGGGTTGAGCGTCGACCCAGGAACCAAGAGGTCGCCGGTTCGATTCTTGGTCAGGGCATATGCCCAGGTTTCGGGCTTGATCCCCAGTGGGGAGCATGCAGGAGGCAGCCAATCAATGATTCTCTCTCATAATTGATGTTTCTCTCTCTCTTTCCCTCTCCCTTCCTCTCTGACATCAATAAAAATAAAAAAAATAAAATAAAATAAAATAAAAAATGATGTCATGCATTCCCGATAAGAGAAGATCAGAATAAAGAGGAGAAATGTTGTGACTGTGACATTGATGTCATCTGCATCTCCTTGTTTTATTTATCCAGATTTAGGGGCTAGATGTTACTGCATTCTGACACCTGTATTATCCCCTGAAGTGTGTCCTTTCCCAATTCTCATTGAAGCCCTGGCCCCCAATCTACCCCAGAATGTGAAAGTATTTGGATATAAGACCTTTAGAGAGGTGATTATGAGGTCACCAGGGTGGGCCCTCATCCAATAAAACTGATGTCCTTATAAGAAGAGGGAGAGACACCAGGGATGTGGGTGCATAGAGTAAAGGCCAGGAAAGGACACAGGGAAAGGTGCCATCTACAAGCCAAGGAGAGAGGCCTCAGGAGAAACCAGTCCTACCAACACCTTGATCTGACTTCCAGCCTCCAGACTGAGAAAATAAATTCCTGCTGTTTAAGCCACCCAGTCTGTAGTAGTTGGTATGGCATTCCCAGCAAGCTGATACAACCCAAATGTTAGCAAACTCTTCAGCTTAGAAGATAATTCTTCCTTTTAATTAAAACATAATGACTGTAAACAAGCAAACACAACAATAGTCTGGAATTCCATTCTGAGTGATGTGGAGATACGATCTTGCCAGATTCTTCTCTACTTTCTCACCACACCCAGTAAAATTTTGAGAATTTGCTTAGGAATGCTTTTATGCTCCATTCAACAGAGTTGGCCATTCCTGTACCCCTCAGCTAGTTTTCTTGCTCTGACTAATATTCCTGGTTTACTAGTCTTTCATCTTTTGCCATCTTATAACTGGCTTCCTCTCTAAGCACAGACATTGGACCCTTCCATATGGATGATGGCAAACCCTTCAAATACCAGCTAAAACTATGTAGCAAAGTGTAACAAAGGAAGATTGAAGTATTGGGTATAAGGTAGTCCTAATGAAAAAGGAGAAAATGAAAAACTAGCTTCTAAATAGAATGTCTCCTAGAGTCTCCTCCTAGGAACTTTCTCAGGGCTCTTCCACAGGTTATCTGGCTCCTTAGCTTCCTACACCCTTCCAGGAAGGGGCCACCTTACTCCTGGACAGGAGGACTGAGCCTGTTTTCCTTTAGCTGGAACAGAGGCCTCCAACCCCATCTCCGTCTTAAGAAAAGGGGAGAGTCCTCCTGTAGGAAGGTAGGATCAAAGTGTGACTTCCTTTCTGCGCTGGGTATGTGATTAACAGGAGGAAATCCCACCCTTCAGAGGACAGCCCTCATGGGAGATGCCAATCCCAAGATTCCATGTTTCATTTCTCAAAGTCTGGGACACAGTGGTGTAACTAAAGGGAATGGTAATATAGGAGACAGTTCATCGAATTCAATAATGTGAAGTTAATTTTAAAAATCACAAACTTTCTCTCGTGTGCAAGAGATTCCAATCCATGATTTAGTAGAGAAGAGCAGAGTCATACCTCAGGTTATTGCTTTCTCAGAAATTTTATTCATGCTGCTTGAAAATTGTGAACTAAGAAGAAAAAAAATCTTGGAGCTGGTGAAATGGGTGAAAGGGGTTAAAACGCACAGACTTTGTTATAATATAAATAAATCATGGAAATGTAATGTACATAGTGGTCCTCTAGTTAGTAGTACTGTGTTGCATATTTGAAAGTTGCTAAGAAAGTAGATCTTAAAAATCCTCATTACAAGAAAAAACTTTTTAAAATTGTAACTATGTGTGGAGACAGATGGTAACTACACTTATTGTGGTAATCATTTTGCAATGTATACAAATATGAAGTCATTATGTTGTACACCTGAAACTAATATAATGTTATGTAAATATATATCAATAAACAAATTTTTAAAAGAGTACTTGGTTTTCTCATATTCTTTTTTCTCAATTGTAGTCTTCTAAACCCCTACTATAGCAAGAACAACCATAAAATAGATTTTCTGATCTAGACTGGTAACTGCACTTCACTGTATAAATAACAACAGCAGCAACAATAATAGTAATAATATCGATGTCATCTACTGGAGTCTTAAACTGTGACAGCCACTGTGTTATTGTTTCACAAACATTATTTTGATTAGTCCTCAACACAACTACTCAGAAGTAGGTAATGCTATCTCCATTTTCTAGATGAAGGAAGTGTTTAGAAAGTGAAGCAATTTACTCATTAATCTCACCTCTCAGAAAGCTAGCATTCTTTTTCTCTCTTCCCTCCATCCCTAAGTCCCTCATTCCCTTCTTTCTTCTCTCTCTCTACCTCCACCCCCACCCCCTCTCTCTTCCTTTCTTTCTCTTTCCTTTCCCCTCTTTGCTTTTTTTCTTCCTAAGCTGATTCTAGGGATACCCCCTTGTCTAAAAGAACATGGTGCTGACAATATTTTATTTAATTGCATACTGGCATTCCCCTTAGGGTCATAAATAATGACAGTTTGTTTTCCCCAGGAAAACCTAATATATTGAATTGGTGTTGGAAACATAAAGTGGTTTGAAGGTCAGCTTCCTTTAGGTTGGTAATATAATTCATTGGACCAAGATTCTGTGAGAGGCTCAAAAGGCCACTGTGTACACGGTGCCATGGGAACACCCAGTTGAAAAAGAGAACGTCTCTGCTTCAAGAATTTTGCCCTTGTATTGTCAACCAAAGCCTCCTTTTTAGGGATGGTTTCGTGGTACATGCTCTCTGCAAAATGTTTTCGGGTACAGTGCTTTGAGGTGCCAAGCTTATCCCTTGCCCTCTGTGAATTCAACCACATGATCCACTTGAAATGTCATCTGGAAACAATTAGGGACCCACAACTCTTCCAAATGGCACATAAACGACACTCCTGGCAGTTGGTGGCCAAATGTTTGTGGAGAAGAAAACCCCACTCCGTCCCACCCACAAATGAAATATAGTAATTGTTAGCCTGACTACCTCTTAAATGGTCGTTCAGGGAAGGGCCAAGGTGACAGGCTGTGCAGGCAGTCAGGTCATTAGAAAGCACAGAGTCCATAACAGCCACTGATCTAAGTAATGCCCGTCTTACTGGCAAAACATTGAGAAAGAGAATCAGCAGATTGAGCAATGATAAACCATAAGCAGCCAAAGGTTGAAGTTACTAAGATATCTTGGGGTTGGAAAATAATGTCAAGAAATTTAGCATTGCACAACAGTATCTTGGTTCAAAATATTTTTTCCACATATACTATTTAGAAAAACTAACAAATTCTAGTGGATACTTCTAGTGGGTGATATCTATCCAATGGGCACAATGCTGTTATTTTTATTAATTATATGTACCAGAGTTTTTAATGTCCACAGTTGTAGGGAGCGAATATAGGGTTATGCCTCAGACTGACCTGTTGGCAAAGCCACAAACAAGTCCCAGCTTAGAGGGCACAGCTCTCTTAGCATAATTAGGCTGGACCTTATGAGGCTCCCTAGATCTTATCTGGGTAGCTAATGGGCTGTGGGAGATGCAGCAAGTGCTGCCAAAACAAGTGAAACTCACAAGAACATTGTAACTATGGTGACCACTACCTCGTTTGCCTCTGGCTGTAAAATAAAGGCTCAGCTTGCCTCCGGATCTCGTGTAACTATGGTGACCACTACCTTGTTTGCCTCTGGCTGTAAAATAAAGGCTCAACTTGCCGTCTGGATCTCTCTCTGTGGCCTCAGCCAGGCACAAGAAGATCCACCTAGACCCAGCTTATTCTCTTTGTCTGTCTTTTCTTCATCCTTCGCCGCCCTCCCTCAGGCTTTCGAACCCTTGGCTGAGCTGGCTCAGCACACACAGTCTTATCAGGTTTGCTTTCAAGGTAAGGAACAAAGACAGTAAGTGCTTGGTTGACGTTATTCCACTTCAGAATCCAGTGGGATCATTTCAAGCATCCTAACTTTATAGTCTGTGGGTGCTTTTGTCTTTGTGGGCCACTTCTCCATTTAAAAAATAAAATAAAATTTATTGCATGACTTTATTGGCTAAAGAAAAATGCAATCTAGACTGAATTTATTATTATACATTCATATTATATTATTTTTTCTTCTGATTTTAAAAGAAAGTAAAATTAAGACATTTTTGTAGGTTCCTAAAAGTATGGTGGGCTCCACATACTGTACCTAATGGATAAGTTGGCTCTGTGCCCCAATGATATTACTCTGCTGTTCATCTTTTGCAGTTAAGGGGAGCCTTGTGGCATCAGCTCACAGTTTCTTGGAAATTCTGGGAGGGGTAATGCTTTTCTCTTCCTTATGTTTTCTGCCTAGAAATAAGAACAGGAAACCCATAGATGCCACAGCCACCTTGCAATCATGAAGTGATAATGTCCTCTAATTACAGACAGGACAGCAGGAAATAGAAGGACACTTGTTTCTAATGGTATTTTGAGTTGGAACATTAGTCAAAAATCTTGTTAGATGAGGAGGAGGAAAAAGATAAATACAACTTATTTAAGCTAGTGGGTACTTGGATTTCTGTCATGAGCAGCTAACTTCTTCTAACTCACAGACTGCTGCAGGCCTCAGCACTCATTTTGGATTGGGGGTAATGTCAGGACTTCACACAAATCCGTTCTGAACAGGAAATAGCCTGAGAACATGGGAGCTTACATAGTACCTATGAGCACAGAGGGTGATTGTAACCCTTACTCCTTCTCTGAGAATAAATGCAGTGTGAGAATTTTTGCTTTCAATCCGTTCTGAACAGGAAATAGCCTGAGAACATGGGAACTTACATAGTACCTATGTGAGAATTTTTGCTTTTTCCAGGTGTGACCATGAAGCTATTGGACTGTAAGAAACCATGCTCCTTGTCAAAACGCACAGGCATGTTCACTCCATGACAAGACTTAGGACCTCGAGATCTGGGCCTCCGCTGATTTTGCTACGTTTGTAGCTGCTGAGAGGTCTGGAAGGGAAGAATGTGACAGGAAGGAGGACTGACTCCAGAGATATTTGGCCCCTTTATAGAAGCCCTCAGTCATGGGGTACAAGGCCACTCCCTAATGCTCAAGGCCCTAGATAGATGGAGGACAGACGGAGTCCCCCTATGGGAGAGGGTCAGTGCAAAAGCCTTGGATGGTCCCTGCTCCTGGTTTTGGGGAATCCTAGGAGCTAGCAAGCATGTGTCCCTGGATCCTGGAACAGAGCTGGATTCCTTAGTCAGCCTGTCATAGCAAGTAAAAGTCACCTTTGTGAAATAAAGTCTGTACCAGAAAGTTTCTTCATGGAATTCATAGGGCAAAAGGTTCAGAAACTTGAACATGTTAAGAGCAATAGTTCCTAGAAGTCTATTAGGAAAAAAATTATTTTAGGTAAGTAGCTTTTGGGGAAACCCTACTCTGCTGGGTGCTGGTGAGCTGGATAATATCTTTTACACCTTCAGTTTTATTTTTGTCATTTATTTATTCTACAACACTTATTAAGCACTAGTGTGTGTAAAACATTGTGAGGGAAACAAAGACTCCATTTCCACATTCAGGGGGTTCATGAGCTGGCAGGGCGGATGGGATGAAAGCAAAGACAAAATAAGCAACCAAAGCTACAATGGAAATATAATGGAGGCCTGGGTGGTACCGTGAATGATTAGAGCAGTGGCTCGGAAATTTTTGCATTTTGAGTCACCTGGGGGGATCTTTTAAAACTCCCAAAGCCCAGGCTATACCTGAGATCAACCACAGTCTGGGGATGGGACACAGGCAGCAGATCATAAAGCTCCCCAGGGGATTCCAATGTGGAGACAAGTTTGGGAATCACTGATATAGAGTTGAGGAAGGGTTCTCTTCCTCTGAAAAAGATATTAGGGATATCCTGAGCTGAGCCTTACAATCCTGCTGCTCAAAATGGGGTCCCTGGGAGCTTGTTAGAGAAGCAGAACCTACTGAATCAGGCTCTGCCGTTAGCAAGGTCCTTAGGTGATTGTAGATTCGGCCACGTTTGAGAAGCCCTGCTAAGTGTTGGTTCTCAAAGTGTGGTTCACAGACCAGTGCCACCTGGGAATGTGTTAGAAATGCAAATTCTCATCCCCACCCCAGACCTACTGATCAGAAACTCTGGGAGGGAAGCCTACCAGCTGTGGTTTAACAAAGCCACCAGGTGATTCTGATGCACACTGATGTTTGAGAACCAGTGGCTCAAAATCTGAGTATGTTTTCTACAGATGAGGAGGAAAGGCATGGCCAGCGCATGGACTCAGGAAAACTCAGGCTATTAGGGAACCAGGAATGACAAGTGTACAGTATGTGTCAAAGAGAAGTGGCAGGAAAAGTTGGGGAGTCTGAGTATGTTTTCTACAGATGAGGAGGAAAGGCATGGCCAGCGCATGGACTCAGGAAAACTCAGGCTATTAGGGAACCAGGAATGACAAGTGTACAGTATGTGTCAAAGAGAAGTGGCAGGAAAAGTTGGGGAGGTGCTCTGGACAGCAAAATGAAGACCCTCAATTCTCCTCCAAACTGTCCTTCGAAGATGTCATGTCTATTATAACAATGATCTTTCCAGCTCAAAACCATGAGGCAGGAGGATTTTCCTCTTATTTGGGGAAGTGTCAGCCTTTTGTTGTCCTCAGGCCTTCATCTGATTGGATGGGGCCCACCCACATTAGGGAGGGCAATCTGCTGTACTGTCTCGATTTAAATATTAAAGTCATTCAAAACCTCCCTCACAGAAACACCCAGAAAAATGTTGGACCAACTATCTGGGAACCCTGTGGCCCAGTCAAGCTGACTCATGAAATTAATCATCATATCTGACCTAGATGGAGGCCAGATCACCTCTTGGATTACTTTTCCTGGATTACTTTTTGCTCCCAACTAACTTGCCTTCTAGGTTGTTCACCTGAGCCAGTGCTGCCTGACTGCTCCATCAACAGAGCCTGAGGGGCTTGAGATCAATCTGCAGACACTTCCTTGTAGAATCTTCACCCGCTGCTGTCATCGAGGGCCAGAAAGCAGGGCTTTCATTTAGATCTGGCCGCACCTTCTCTGTCCTCTCCCTGCCTGACTGACTGCTGCTTTGAGAAGCACGGTACTATAGAGTGTGGAGGAAAGATGAACGAGTCTGGAATCAGGAGACTCAAACCCCAGTTGAGCTCCTTATCAGCTTCTTGCATCTGTGAAATGGGGACACCCACAGCCCTCATAAGATTTTATGAATCTTGAATTAGCACAAAACATCAAACACTATACAAATGGCAATTCCTATTATTAATTTTCAGTCGCAAGAACTAAGCACATAGAAAAGAATTATCAACTTGTCACTATTTTTGCGATTATAATGACTGTTCGAGACTGTGAACTCCTGGAAGGCAGAAACTAGACCACGTAGTTGCATAGCATCTAGGCAGGCATCATGCACAGAGGCATGCTTAGTACAAACTTAGCTGATGATAAAGAAATAGCATTCTACCTTTTCTGATTGGCTTAAAATTCCCTTATTTGTTGCACACTAAATATATCTTCCAGAAATATGGGTGCCAGATAAAATTTAGGATTCCCAGTTAAATTTGAATTTCAGATAACAATGAATCCTTTTATAGTATAAGTATGCCCTATACAAATCATTTGCTGTTTATCTGAAATTCAAATTTAACTAGATGTTCTGTGTTTTTATTTGTTAAACCTGGCAACCCTATCCAGAAAGGGACCTGGCAAAATTTTATGTTAAAATTTTCTTAGGTGATGAATATTTAAAATATGCCATGTGAGAAACACCATATAAAGAGTTTCTAATGGGCCCTGGCTCAGCGGTTAGAGTGTCAGCCCCCGCACTGAAGGATCACAGGTTTGATTCCTGGTCAAGGGCACATACCCTGGTTGCAGGTTCAATCCCCTGCCCCAGTTGGGGTCTGTGAAGGAGGCAACCAATTGGTGTTTCCCACATGGATGTTTCTCTCTTTCTCTGTCTCTCTGTCTCTATCTCTCTCCTTTTCCCCTCCCTGCCTCCCCTCCACTTTCTCTAAAAATTAATGGAAAAAATATCCTCAGGTGAGGATTAACAAAAAAGTTTCTAATAGTTCATATGATTGTTTGGCATTTTTAAGTGACTTACATGCAAAGCTAATGGACCTAAGTACGTTTTAACCATACTGGTTTCATCCATAAGATGAGGGTATAATATTTAATGTACAGGGCTGTTTGGAAGTTTACCTGAGGTTATCTGTGAGAAAGTTCTTTGTAAACAGGCCCCCCAAAAAGAATCTCAGTGGAACCCAGGCTTTGCTGTCTGACATATCTCTGATTGAGTCCCAGTGTTACCATTTATTACTGTGTAACTTTGGAAAAGCTACTTAACCTCTCTCTGCCTCATGTTCTCATCCACAATATGAGGATAGTAAAACTGACCTCATAGGATTTTTGTGAGAAGGAAAAGATAAAATGCATATGTAGTACTTAGCGCATAATAAAGCACTTAATAAATGTTAGATTTTATTTAAAAATTTAGAACACATCCCTTTCTAGATTTGTGTATGGTAACAGGAAATTATGAGCCACACTCCAAGTATAAACTCCTCCTCTGTCTGAGCGTTCCTTAAAACAGGAAATGCTTTGCCATTAGGTGCTCACGTTATATTGCAGGAATGGACTAACACACAACCGGCCTCTTCCTGCCAGTACTCTTCCTAAATACCAAGAGCAGTGACTCCCTTTGTACCTGAACGTGGCACAGGAAAAGGCAAAAGCACCCCAAGGTTTAAATCAGTTCAGATCATTCTTAACTTTGAAAAGTTCATTAATATCATCATCAGGAAAAATATAGCAGGTGTTTCAATTGCTGCTTTAATCTTAGA